AAGAAATAGGAAAGGGGGAAAAGAAAAGACCATGCAAAATTCGCTGAGATGAGGGCTGAGGTGAAAGTTCGGGGTGATCCCCTACATTAGGCCTCAGTCTCCGCCTCCTAAGCCTCCCACACCCACAGCAGCAATGAGCCAGGGATTGTGGGGCAACACTGGAATATTTCTCACCATGAAAAAAAAAAAAAAAAAAAAAAAAAAAAAAAAAAAAAAAAAAAAAAAAAAAAAAATAATAATAATATCATGGCACTTTTATGTTTTCTTCAGCAGAATATACAGCCCAGCATCACAGATTACTTTTCAAAAGACTGTTTTGTCAATTAGTTAATTACACATACTCTACACCAAAAAATCAACTGAAGACATTACACTCTTTACCTCTGTCTTCTAATACTTTGAATGAATACAAAGCTATGTAAATGGATAATAAAATACACATGTCTTGTGCACATTTATAACAAATGAAACTTATTGTACACAGATTTTCAAATTTTGTATTCTACAAATTATACCTTTTATTTTCTTTCAAATGAAAATAAGAACAATTTGATACTCTAAGCCCTCCGCTTAGATTGTTTACACTAACATAAAATTTTAAAATGCAGGTGATCAGAAGTGGAAATGTTTCATAAAAATCCATGAAAACTTAAAATTACATACAGTTGGAATGTACTTATGTTTAAGCTAAAATTCAATACAAGAAACAGTTCTGCTTATTAAATATATGAACAGATATAAAAATATCTCAATCTCCTCAAAAAGAAAAAAAAAGAAAAAAGAAAAAAGAAAAACAAAATAAATAAATAAATAAATGAAAATCCATCAATAAATAAAAAAATGAAATAAAATAAATTATTAAATAAAAATAAGTAAAATCAAATAAATGAAAAATAAGTAAATAATAGTAATAACAATAATAAACACGAACTTGATTTCTGTAAACAATGGTTTCATATAAGTATCCTCCACTGCAATCAGATTTAACTGTAGACTATAATGTCGTCTACAATACTTAAAACCTGAGAAAAAATATTGTAAAACCTAAAAAAAATCATCTATCTGTCACTGTATTTGGAGAAGGAAGCATCTGACATACAGTTCAAAATATAGAAGTTGATGCAAACAGATCAACACATATCTCTGAAGTTTAAAGTCTATTCTGTATTAACATTTTTTTTCTGAAGGATGGCTTATGTTTGCAGACCTATACAAAACATGTATTCAAATGCAAAAAGTGACTAGGAGATTCCTTGAGTATTGTCACAATAATCTTTCTAGTCTTATAATTTGTGTACACATTTAACAGTACGATAACTGAAGGTTACATGACATTTAATTATACTAGTGAAAAAATGAGCAATTAAGTATTTACTTTCTTTTACATTTTCCCACTTTGTGTGGGGTTGACTGAACAACTGAAGTAATGACAGAAAAGTGATTTTGTTCATTAAAGATTAAAAACATGAAGTAAATACAATATTGTAGTGTACTGTAGCATACATAATTACTGTTCTATGATAAACGGCACTATACTAAGCTACAGACTTCATAATATAGTTATTTTAAAAGAATGAATACAAACATATTTCTCCTTTTAGTTCATCTGGTACTGAATAATCTATTAATTAACAATCTGATTGTACTGTATTGTACTTTATAATTTTAAGTATTTCACCAAGGAAATAACTTACATCAGCTCTTACATACAAATGTGGCCTCAATTAAATTATCACACTAGAATGACTCCTCAAACTAGTTACCTGTAAGACATTCAAGACACTTTGTGCTCTTAATCTTTTTAGTTATCATCATTATTATTTTTTTTTTGTACTTTTGGTGCACTGGGAGCATTGCAGCTTCCAAAAGGCCCACTGATGGTAACATTTAGATATTCTAAAAAACATAAACCAATATCATTCTACCACAATCAGTTTTGTTAAGTGTTAGGATTTCTGTGCTGATGTACTTTCACACTGAAAACCACAGATATTAATACCATAAAAAGGTTTCACTTTTTCATTCCATTTCATCTGGTTGTTTGGAAAGAACCAAAAGGTATTCCTTTCTTTTCTCTTGCTCATTTTAGGTATGCTGCTGAACATAGCTGCACATTTATAAGCGCTTATATATTACCATTCCTCAATATGTGTGTGTGTGTGTGTGTGTGTGTGTGTGTGTGTGTGTGTGTGTGTGTGTGTGTGTGTGTGTGTGTGTGTGTGTGTGTGTGTGTGTGTGTGTGTGTGTGTGTGTGTGTGTGTGTGTGTGTGTGTGTGTGTGTGTGTGTGTGTGTGTGTGTGTGTGTGTGTGTGTGTGTGTGTGTGTGTGTGTGTGTGTGTGTCATTAAGTGTGTGTCTTTGAGTATATGTGTGGGTGCATGTGTTCTGAGTGAACAAGAGTGAGTGAGTGAGTGTGCTTGTGTTTTTGAATGTGCATGTGTGTGTATGTCTTTAAGAGCATGTATTCTGAGTGAGTGAGTGAGTGAGTGAGTGAGTGAGTGAGTGAGTGAGTGAGTGAGTGAGAGTGAGTGTGTGAGTGAGTGAGAGTGAATGAATTTGTGAGTGTGTAGGAGTATAAGTACAAATGTGTGTGAATGAGTGTAAAAGTGACAACATGATATAGTGTGTGAATGTGATTGAGAGACAGAACACATGTGTATAATTACCAATTTTCTGTAAGAACTGTATGTATCTACAAGAAGGCTATAAACCTAACACAAACGCACACACACAACCACCTTTGAAATCAGATCAAATATCATCGTCTTTTAATCTAAAAAAGTAATATCTGTCATTTACTTTGTTTTATTATGAATCTTTTGGTGCACAACACACAGGATAAGCCATCAATAAATATTCAGAAATTAAACAGAATTCAAGGAAGATTGTTATGTTGTAATACATGGAGCAGAAAGCTTTTCAATTTCTATTACTCTTATTGGGAATGAGAAAGGGGCTTATTCATTTACTTCTCCTTAAACATGAATACTTTGTCTTTTACTTTTTGCTTTCCATTGGGGGAAAAAGTGAGGTTTTGGCATACAGAAACAAATTATTTCTTGTTAAGCAAAACAAGGTAACATTAAGCTCCCCTATCTTTATGGGATTTGCTTCTATATCAATAACAAATTATTAAAATCAATTTAAAGAAATGCCAAAACTCTGTTCCAATGGATCCATACAAAAAAGTACATCATTTTAGAGAGAGAAAAAAATTAATGAATTTCACCTTTTGCATTTAACTTTATTTTTTGTTCCTCTTCCTCTTCTTCTTTGGGGTTTCACTCTCTTCTCCACTTCTTTTGATGCTTACACTATCCAATAACTTGGGTTTGTTGTGAGTGAGAAGGCTGTGTGTCCAGACTGCTAGTTCCACCCTATGAGGAGTCCACTGGTCCTCATTGTTTTCCTTCTAAGATAAAAGAAAAAAAAATCATATATTCATATATATAATATATTATACATATATATATATATATATATATATATATATATATATATATATATATATATCAAAATTTTTGTATTTGTAATGTTGGTGAACCAAATAATATTCTATAGATCTAGCAGCATTTATTGACTTACTTCTAATTTTATTATTAATGAATATTTTGCCACTGAGCAAAAAAAAGGTTATTGTCCAAATAATAATTGAAAATGTAAAACTTTGTTTGTAAAAGTTTTCAATTTCAGGCAGCAAAACAAAGTCCATTTCCACAATATCTTTGATTCACTTACCTCGCATCCATTGCCACTCTCATTATTGAGGCGTGCAGCACAGCTTGTAAGTTCAGTGTTTAGTAATAAGTATTCACTGTTAGTGTACTTGAGTTTGCTGAGGGCAGGTATGGCATGGGCAACTTCATCGGCAAAAAAACAGCACTTCTCTGGTACACATGCTGCAAGCACGGCTGAAGCTGTAGCAGGACCCACACCTTTCAGAACAACTAAGAAAAAATGGATGTTTGTATTACTTTCTTATCTATTTGTATTTATAAATAAGGTGAACAACAAAGCAATAAGACAGGGTATTCAGGAAAATTTGCAGTTAAGATAAATCAGGAGACGCTTGTAATTTAGAAATAGGTAAATTGGAAATTTGTTAACTTATGCATGAGAGAAGTAATAGTTTCACGCTACCTTGCCGCAGCTTAACCCATTGCCGCCGGGGATGGCATGTACGTACATGCCATGCCCACTGTGAGTCGACTTGTTTGATTGTTTTTACACATAGATGGCTACACTTGTACTAAGTATCCAATGAGCCAATTACGAGTGCTGCCTGTCTCGCCCGTTCACCCTTGTCATCGATTTACAAAAATATCTAACGTTATCCTAATTTGCTGTTAAAAATAACACCATCTATGTTTATAGCACTAGTAAGAATACGTTTTTTCCCGCCAATTTAAGGAAAGGTGAAATAAGGACTAGCAGAGCCATCTATGGACAGACATATTTCACAAAAACATAAAAAATGAGTACTGCATTCCCCCATTTTTTGTTCATTTTCCCTGGCGGCAATGGGTTAATCATACAATATTTTTCAAGTCAATATTCATGCTACAAATAATTCCAATAACGTTTACTTCCTAGCAACATGAATTCAAATTTCTTCAACAAAATACATGAAACACTTCTCCCAAACATTTAGGGTTGCACACCACCACGTAGAAAAGCTGCCTCAGCCTTCAAATTTTGGGCCCAAAACCTACCAAGAGCTTCAATTGCTTCTTCAATCTTGCCAGCTTGTGCAAGCTTGATACCCTTCTCTGTTGCACTCTTGACGAGAGATTCCTCATTAGATTCTGAGAGCTGGATCAGGCGAGGTCTGAACTTCCCCCTGGAGAGCTTCCAGTCCATGAGGCGGACCAACTCCTTCCGGATCATGTGGGGGGGACTACGTGATGCCACGGCTTCCCCAAGCTCCTCCTGGTACCATCTGGCAGATCGAAGGAATCATTAAAATCTATTTGATAGCAAACATTTTTGTTGACTTCAAATTTTAAATGTAATAATAAACAATGTACTACATCTATACATGAGCACAATATATATATATATATATATATATATATATATATATATATATATATATATATATATATATATATATATATATATATATATATATATATATATATATAGTATACAAACACTCATACAATCACAGGCATAAATACTGATACAAACAGATGGAGAGGAGAGAAAAAAAAAGGTGAAATTATAATTCAATCAGAGAACAGGCTTCTATTATTACTCATATTAATTCTCCTATGTGTAACTTTATTCACATATCTTATTTACAGGTTTCTAGTAACTTATCCAAGTTTCATTTATATGTATTTATAATGACATTATCAATCTTTTAATGATGCTCTATATATTTCATATATATTACAATGAAACATGCATAAAATAAAGTCTTGATATGCTAGGAACCAACACTGTCTTACTAAAATATGACAAAACAGGCATTTTATGCATGTAAGTAAAGCTGGAGTATTTGTGGTTCATAGGAGTTACTTTTTTTCCACCAATCAAACACATTAGCAAATATGTCCATTGACCTATCTAGATAGACCATACAATCATACAGAACTAATAGTCTGATGACAAATGATCTGAAATATTAAATACAGTTTAGGATTAAAACTACTGGAAAATGCCTTCATATAGCAAACAGAAGAAACTCAGAAACAAGTACAGTAATGTTTGTAAAAAGATGAATTGAAACAACCACAAAAGAAACACACACTAATCCATGAACTTTCAGGTCATGCCAGCCCTGGCTTCATCTTTAGATGGCAGAAGACTACCACTCATATTTAGAGACACTTCGAACACTTCAAATGGAGGGCCAGACCGGTATCTCACACCCATCAGCCAATCACCATCAGGCTGCCTCATGCTGTAGCTAATCACAGCCTAGTTGCTTTGCATTGTGGTGCCAGACATCCACCAGAAAAGGTGTCTGAAGTGTCTCTAACTAGAAGTGTACATCTCAAACTATTTAGGATAATACTATGATTATTCTCATTCACTGATTCTCTCTCATTTTCATCACAGATTAAGATAAGTTTCATTTCATAAATACTCCTCTTAAATTTCACCTTTTTTACCTATGTAATACATTCACCTGAAGTTCTCTGTTTGAAAAGGAGTCTATTTTGACTAGAAAAATTGTAGTCATGTGTTTCCCCTTTTTTGGCGGTTTCCTTTAATAAGACTGATACAGCAAAGTTATGCTCTAATTCCCTTGCCAAGAGAACCTATAAAAATGATAAAAATCATACTAACTTGTCTAAGGACTCCAAACTTTCTCCTTGTTTCTTATTTTTAAGCATTGCCTTAATTTGGAGAGCATCATGGTAGACTGTGAGTAAAGCTTCATATTCCTCGGGAGTAGCACTGTTGAGGAACTCAGTAGTTGTGGGCATTTTGGGCACTTTCTTGAAGAACCTGAAAAGAAGAGAGTTATTTTCTTTATCTTACTAGGATGTTTTTGTGCACAAAACATTTATATACTTAACAATACCATATGAACTACATGTCACTTTCATATTTTTGGTCTACCAATGGAGGGAATAACTGTCAACCAGCAAAATATCAACTGTTGGTTATAATCTACTAAAAATCTTATTATATGTGATTACTTCTAAGTTGTCTATCTATTTAGTTTTAATCAAGGAATTTAAAAATGGAACTACCTGCATGCACATGCACGCACGTGCACACACAGTCTTTGAAGAAATATGCTGTATTTGGAAAGATAGCAAAATATAAGTAAGATACAAGACAAATAAGAGACACAGCAAGTCATGATGTTAGCAGTTTATGAATAAAACAAATTGGGGCTTTATTCCTAACATCTCTTACATACATGGTATAATGCCTAGTTTACTATCATTATGCAAAACAGAAAATATCTGGGAATCACAAATTCTGAATTTGGAAACAAGTAATTTTTGAGAAAATAGGTCCAATTTATCACATAAAGAATAACAAGGGAGAATACTAACATTACTGCTGCCAAACTGTCTTGATTAAGTTATTCATCTCTTTCCTGCCAAATTACAATATTTGTGATTTGGTATGACATAGCTACGATGTTGTACACAGCTGAGTGCACAAGAATGTTTATAGGTCTAACTTGAGTGTACTGTAATTAGTGAAATTATCATTATTTGTATTGCTGTCATTTGTTATGTTGCGTGTGGATTGGTGTGCTTCAAAAATGTTTGGCACAAGAACCAGCAAACTTCTGAAGAGCAAAGTTTGAGGACAAGAGTGTCTGGAAAAATATATCTCCCTTAATGTAATTGAACACTGCCAAGAGAATTGACAGAAAACATTGTTCATTTGTAAATCATGTATAAAACAAGTCTGGGCATTCATCCTGACCAGTAGCCCCATTATTCTAATTAACTTACTATTTTTGCTATTTTCTTTTCAACTTATGTACAGCATCTGGTTTCAGAGAAGTAAAAAAAAAAAAAAAAATTGTTAGTTTGTTGACCATTGCAGGGTTATAAAACAAAGAGTGGATTTACCTATACTTTGCACAGATTACTTTTTCTTTACTTAATAGCTTTAGCTTTTAGTGTCCTATATGGATATTACATTAGCTTTCCTCAGCATCTGTGTTGTCTAAGAGAAAAGAGTACTTTCGTATCAAACAGCACACATTGTTTCCCTACTGTTTCTTGAGCTTTCCGCCTTGTCCTTGCCTTGTACTAATCTAAACCAAATTACATTCTAATAATTAGGGGCACCAGATCTTCCTGGCAATTCCTCATGGCATTAGGGACCAGTGCAAACTCTTATCTTGCTGGAATAGACATGATGCAGGGTAGTCGGCCTTTACTGAAGCAGGGCCTTGAAAATGCCGGTCATTGCATTACCACTGAGCTTAACATAGTCGACTGTATAGCACATTCATGACTCCCACAAAACCTCAAGTAAATTTGGACAGAACAGCCGATATGATGAAAAGCAGCCAGTCACATTCTGAAATCTATTACTGGCATCAGCTGAACTTTGACCACATTCCTTTCAACAATTTCAAAAGTAAAATTAACTGGGACACTATGTAGTATAAGGTAGTGGCAGAGTTGGGTAATAAAACCTACATGAAATGCTAGAACAGTACAAACCAAGACAAAGTTCTTCTATGGCAATATGTGTGCAAATGCTTCCCAAGGGTGCTAGGTATATATATTACCCCAGGGGTCCAGGGGGCAGAGCCCCCTGGCTAGGGAATATATACCACAGTGTTAGGTTAGGTTGGATGTTGGGTTAGGTTGCCCATTTGCACAAGGAACAATGCCTAGAATCATTGAAAGCAGTGGATTTCATGCAGAAAAATATCAAAATTGTTTCGAAAGTAACCGATCTTCTTCCCTTTTCTATTCCGTACAGCACCCTTGGGAAGCATTTGCACACATATTGCCATAGAAGAACTATGTCTTGATTTGTATTGTTCTATCATTTCATGTAGGTTTTATCACCCAACTCTGCCACTCCCTTATATTACATATTGACCATTAACTGTTATAAAAAGAGGGGTAATAACCACACTTAAAACCAAATAATTAAATAACGCCTCGACAGAAGCAGCCTGGCTCTGGACCCCAATGGAGCAGCGGCTGGTTAAGGCCTATTTTCTCAAAGTCATTTCGCTCGACTAATAATTTCCACCACACAGAGATTCGTAATTCTCAATAGGCTAATCGGCAGAAGTGTGTGAAAATGATGTCAGTGATGAGATAGAAAATAAAACGAAAGACCTAGATAGATCGCAGGTAGGCCTATGGACTATTAGAGAATTAAAATATAAATGAAATATCAATGATTATAAAAGAAAGGGTAAAAGGAGAAAGAGAAATGGAGATAACATCGACGAAAAATGGACAATAAATCAACGACAGGGAATAAAATACTGAAGGAAAATAAGAGATTGAACGTACAACACTGCGCCGCGCTTGAGACCAGAGGAAGAAGAAGACTGGAATGAAAGATTAAAAGGAATCAAGTCAGTCGTGATGCGTCGTACACGCCATCTGTTGAACATAAGGGCGGCGAAGGACAAACTCGCCGGTACTCGACTTGGGTTTATGTTCTCTCAGGGTCGTGTAGTGGTGGGTTGTGCGTGCCTTTGGTTCTTGTGTTCAATCAGGGATGGATGAGGTCGTGCATATGAGATACTCTTTGGTTAAAACAAAACTCTATGCTGCTTAGTGTTGTATTGTCATGTTTTTATTGTTTCGTTCTTACTGTTGTTTTTGTTATTATCATTGTCTTCCTAAGCAAAACTAACATTGTGTTCATCATTGCTATTGTCATTATTGCTGTTACCATCCTCATTATATAACTTTTATTAATATTATTGCCATTAGTAACATCGCCATTGTTATTTTTTATCATTATTATTATTAGATTATTATTATTATTAGATTATGATTATTATTATCATAATCACTATTTTCATCCTTATTATTACTATTATTATCCTCATTGTTATTATCATTATCATTATTATTATTATCATTATTGTTGTTGTTGCTGTTATTATTATCACGATTGTTATTATCATTATCATTATTGCTATAATTATTATTATCATCATCATCATTATTACTATTACTATTATTATCATCATCATTATCATTATTTCATTATTATCAGTACTCTGATAATCCTTACTATTTTCATCATCATTGTTTTATTATCATTATCATCATTATTATTATTACTGTTAATGCTATAGTTATCCTTAGAATGATTACTATTACCTTATTTATTATTATTACTATTATTATTATCATTGTTGTTATTATTACTATTATTTTTTATTATCATCCTTATTATCATTATCCTAATCATCCTCATCAGCAGCAGCATCGTTATTATTATCATTATTAATACTTCTATTATTGCCATCATTATCACTATCATTATTCTTATCAACTGACATTATTGTTATCATTATTATCATTGTCTTT